TAGTAACATTCACTCTGTGGTTGTGCTTGCTGCACATGGATGAACTACGATGTATTCTACCGCAGCTGCTAAGGCTGAGCTCAGAGGTAAGCGTAAGTGTCCTCCTTAGACGCACGACAAGAGTGAATGTCATATTCGTAATCAGGATGTTTTAGCGGATTTGGTGGCTTGGGCAATTTAAAAAATGGGCTCGGTGCTGGAATTTCTGGGGTCCAAACGGCATTAGCCTGTTAAGTCGGAAGATTCTATTCATGGAAGGTAATGGAAAGGTCCCTATGAAGATTGGCGGCCTATATTACAACCGAGCCAGCTTTTCCACTCTGCATGATATGTATTTGTTCCAGATGAGCTTGTTTGGTAAGATTTTTGGAGGAAGAAGCAGGAAGTGGCACCATCGACTCAAGATGCCATTCAGAAATTACGTGAGACCGAGGAAATGCTCATAAAGAAGCAGGACTTCTTGGAAAAGAAGATCAAGGATGTGAGTTTTCGTTTTGTAATTAATTCATTATTATTATTAATTCAGTATTACAGGTTGTTGTGATTGAGAGTTAACGCACGAAAACTCGTTGACTGTGATTACCTACTTCATCGGCGTTTGAGCGTTCTGGGCGAAAAAAAGAGGATAGATCTAGCGTTATGGGAGATACTCCAGGATTTTAGCGTTTTGGCAAAAGCGTTACGTTCTGAGTAAAAGGGAAAGTGGAGGGGAACGATTTGCGAACGCCCGGCGTTTAGCTCATGCTAGAATGATAATCTTACACCTTCGTTTTCGCCGAAAACGCCGACGAAAAGTATGAACGCAGCCCTAGTGCAGGCGCAGTGAAAAAAAGCATGCAATACGTCATCGTTTTTGTAAGTATCATATTTCAACGGGAAAACGTTTGCAATGAAAGACCGTTGTTACTCTCTTAGTGTAAAAATTTTGGTCTGTTGATTTTGTGCGATTAATCAGAACAAATAATGAACTTATATGTATGAAGCAACAAACTTATATGAGCCGAAAATTCGACAGTAGTGTATAACGTCCTTGGAAGTATTCCTCGAGCGGCTGTGAATGGGAACTTTTCCTGCGCGATGTACCAGAGTATGGCGACCGGTTGGGAGCGCTAGAAACGGCGACTGGGATAGAGAAGTTTTCAGTTATTTCTCTGTGCTATCATGTATCGCTTCATCTGTAGCCGAAATTTACATTGGCTTAATTCTTGGGAGTCTCAATACTAGGATTACTTAGATGGTAGAATTGTAGTGATTTTTTGCGGTTTCAGGTGCGCTTCAAACCCCATTCGACGAAAATTTGAGCGGGGTTGACGGGGCGACTTTCCTCATTGTGTAACATTTTGGCGTGCCCAAACTGTTGCTGCGCCTGTTTTCCACCGTGTTTTCCTCACCTTGAAAACGCGTAGGTCATCGTATGAACGCTGCGCATCTTCCTGGTTTGTCCGCCAAAGGTTGCGTTGGAGAATTATCGGTTAGTTACTGGCGATCTGCGATTTCGTAATATCTGAAGTTTATAACTGGGACGAATTTCTTCATGTGCAGCTGTCTCGATCATAACCCAAGCAATGAAGAGACTTCAGCGAAGCATGTGCATGAGTGAGGTACCTTGGAAAAGCTAGCTGCCCTGCGAAAATAGCTTTGCGATCGTTAATGTCTGCATGTACATGAGATTTCACATTTTTTTAATTTGTCACGCTAAAGGACGGCATGGATTCCATATGGTGAATCAATGACACGAACCCTACATTGAAGGATTGGTTAGGTCACTTCTGTCAACCTGTTCGCGGGTATTTTCTCATGGGATCTTTTGGTCACGCATTTGAAGAAAGAGAAATAAGGAAGACTGGGAAGACAGAAAAGTAAGGAACGGCAAAAAGAAGGAGGGGGAAGGCTTCGCGGCTTGCAGATATCCTGAGGCGAAGTGGTCGCTTATTTGATTTGTCGGTAGTGAACAATTTTGATATTACTATCCAATGGAACTAACTTCATTTTTAGTTATAAGATAGGTAAAAGTTGCGGAGGTACGCGCAGTATAGAGGTTGATAGTGTTTCATTACTTATTCTTCTGTTTTTTTTTGTCTTAGTTTTCTCTGCAGAGACCGTGCCGAACGGGGCCTTAGAAGTGAGCAAAATGTTTACAAATCCATTTTGCCAAGGAACTGGGCCTCTGGGCATTGCAGTCGTTTGAATTGCTTCGGTAGAGAAAAGTGAGACCGTCACATCGAACTCCACGCCTGCAATATTTCTGCAAAGTATTCTTCGAAGAAAACAAAATGCTCCCGTTTTCTTTGTTTTTTCACGGTTCAAGTGTAGCGCAGCCTATAGCGCAATGCTTAAGACGGACCCTTCGCTCTTGCGTGCGGTGTACGTCATTTCAGTAGATCGTTATTTATAGCGAATGAGCTTTTTGAAAGCCAATTTCATTCCTGTTTTTGTTGCAAGCTGAGCTCACGTTAGTTGAGGATCCTCAGCGGGGTATTCGGTTGCTGGAGGGAGAGGGTTGTATGGTAATTGGAAAATTTCTTTTACTGTTTTTTTTTATTTTCTCGCTTACATGCGCTACTATATCCCTCCCCCGTGCGGGGGACACTTTTTTTCTGAGGAAGACTGTAGAACTTTTGGAAAAACTCCGGGGAAAATGGCAGGAGGCTGGGAGAATTCGCGACAATGGTGTAGATGGGACGGGTGGGGAGAGGAGGTGCGGATTCAGAGAAGATATCTTAGAGTAGCGTGCAATATTTTTCCTGAGCGACAGTTCGCAAACAGATTCAGAATCGTAATGCAAACGTGTTCTGTGGGTTGCTGTTTGGTGCGCTTTCGTTTAAGATGTGCGGAACGCTGCAGAGTTATTCTCGTAGTTTGCTAACTTCCCCCTTCTCGCCAACACTCTCATTTATTCATTTACATGGCCAATAATTTTTATTCCCAATGATTTTTCTTCGGTGTTAGAAGGCGTAATTGAGTTTAGTTTTATGGGGAACCCTGTTTCATAGCAGCTCATTTTCAATGAATGGTTTTTTGTTAGGCTCGAAAGATTCGAATTACCCAGCTTCCTTGGTAATACCGAAGTAACGTGATCTTGAGTTTAAAGCTGCTGACTCATCACTGACCCCCTTTTGCTGTTTGATTAAGAAGGCGACGAGTTGATGCAAGTCGCTGTCGGCCTTCAAATTTGGCAGAGGCAGGTTTACATCGCGGTCACGTACGGATGTCATTGGTTCCATAAGTTCTGCACCAGAATCGATTGGGATGGAAAACCTTCAATCTAATGTAAAATCGAATGTAAAATGTATGTAAATATTTGATGAGTAACCCTAATGAAGTATTCGAAAAAAAACTAGAACAGCTCGGCATTTTCCAAAAAAGGGAAAGCGTCTACTTGGAAGGTGGGCACTTTGGCCTCCGCTATCCTTAGATTGGTTCATTTCAATTAACAGGTTTCTTTTTGGTCAAAGATGCCAAATCCTGTAGGGTTGGGTCCGGTAAGCCTTTTTTGCCATAGAAATTGCAAGATTCACGATAATAAATCTACAAGCTTAGTGAGTAGCATTACGTGGCCGCCTACCAAACCGAACTGCGCTGGAAATGTATGTTGCCGAGATTTTTGTCCTACTTTGAGTGGACCTTGGGGACTTGTTGCTAACGAATATTTATGCTCATAAGAGCGAATTCAGTATTATTTTTGTCTGCTAAATATTACATTTGTACTTCGAGACCAATATCGGTTCAGTCCAATATCGGTTCTTTATATGGATTTGTTCAATTGCTACGTAAACGCGTTCAGAATTCGCGATCGCGCGACTACGACCGGGGCGCTCTTCGGTGCACCGCGTAACGGCAGACATCAATTAGACCCCCTTCAGCAAATCAGTTTGAACTGTGCCTGTTGGGCCGTCTGCATCGGCTGAGTAGAACATCCCTGGTGTGGTTGCGCTGTTCGAACGCGGGTCGCAAAGTCTGAACGTTGTCTAGAAGAAACCTTTTACTGGACCAAATTAGTGTTCTGGCTGTAAACGTGTTGATATTTCATAGAGAAGCGGCACGGTTCGGCTCGTCGTGGGTATTTTGTTGGTTTCAATCGATCACTCTCGATGGATCCTGTGGAGAACCTGTTAGCCCCCGTAAAGTTTTGCTGTAGCAGGAACTTCGTCTGAACTTGACAAGTTTCTAAGGGTTTCGCCAAGATGGGATGCGTATTTTCAAATCGAACTAGCAGAAGCAGCCCACGAAGAGAGAATGCCCTCCCTAGCCAAAAGGGAAGAAAACACATGGACTTTAGCATCGTGTTCATTAAAAAAAAGATTGGATAGGGACAATCGTTTTTATTAGGTTTAATGCAAAGTTATTATATTCATCATCAAATTCAATATGTTCCATTATCAGCGCCGTCATTGGAACGGCGTGGTGAATATTAACAAGGTGCATCCCTGTTTATGAATCGATTGCTCAATTCTTGGGCGAGGATGAGGGATCATCCGGTTGTTTTGACGTTTCCACGTGACTGTAATTAATGAGATGGTAAAAGCTGATGTTTGGCGTGATTTTGTTCGCGATACTGCCTATCATCAGCAACAGAAGCAAGAAGGACATAACAGAAGTTTTTCGTTGGCATGGTGAAGTCGTAAACTTTCTTGATAGCAAGGGCAGGTGAAAAGAGTACCGTGAAAGAAAACGAGCCGCTGTGCTACTTGGAGGGGGGCGGCTTGTACTTTTGCTAGCTCCTTTTGTTAGTTCATGTTGACTAACTGGTCAACACCTGTAAACCCTTGCCAAGCCGCGAAAGGGTACGTGAGCGTTTCATGTGTTATTTTTCCCAAGAAGTGTACAGCTCTACACATGCTGGACTGTACAACTTCGCTGAGTTCCATTTGGTGCCTCCACCCAGCGGAACTATGCCAAAATGATAACAGCCCTAACTTTCTGCCTAAATGAAAGCAGAGCGAGGCAGTGCTGGGTGATCATAGCGCTTTCTTGTTGGTTTTCGTGCATTTGGAAGTTTCATGTGTTGTTTTCAGGAAGTGGCAACGGCAGTGAAACATGGCACGAAGAATAAGCGACTCGCTCTTCATGCTCTTGGAAGGAAGAAACAGTTCGAGAAACAGCTCAACCACATTGACGGAGTTTTGCAAACTATTGAGTTTCAGGTATGTTCATTAAGTCTGGAGTGCAGATGCTTTGAGTATACGTTGCCTTTTTTCGAACGCAATGCCAGAAATCCCACTTTCATATTCATTTTTAGAGGGAAGCGCTCGAAAATGCTTCTACCAATGCAGAAGTTTTACAAGTCATGGGTGGTGCAAGTAAAGCTTTGAAGGCAGCTCACAATAACATGGACATTGACCAGGTTTGACTACTAGTTTTCAAAAAGGATTGGACGAGCTTTTTTACATTTTGTGTTATGGTTATTCCGGGTTTGTGTTATTTTTCATGTTCAATTCAGGTGCACGATCTGATGGAAGATATAGCTGAGCAGCAAGAGGTTGCCAATGAAATTGCTGAAGCAATCTCAAATCCTGTTGGTTTTGACAGAGCAGTTGATGATGAGGAACTTCTCAGGGAGCTGGAGCAACTTGAACAGGTACGATTCGCTGAGCTTCAGAAATGTCCGGTTTTATTTGGCCTTCAATCTCGCACTTGTCAAAACCAGGGCATATCGTTGTTGGGGAATCCCCAACAGGGAGGGGGAGGGGTTGTCGTATTTGGGCTGAGGAAAATTTATCTTTGATAGTTGATTTTCCTCTTTTCACGGACGTTGTAAAGGGGTGGGGGTCGTACTTGCTCATTGTTGGGAGGGGGGTCGTATTTACTTTTTGGCCTTCTAGGAGTGGTGGTTGACTTTTCGTGATTTTCCTGTTCCATGTATATCTTGTCATCACAGGCTTCCAAAAAATCGACAATTCTCTAGAAAGAAATGTACTGTCACTCAAAGGAGGATCTAGTATAGTTTAGTATTCCCGTGTTTCAGGAAGAACTGGATAAACAGTTATTGGATGTCCAACCTACACCCGTTGTACTGCCCGATGCGCCTTCCACTGATTTGCCAGCAAGTAGCAAGGCCAAACCAGCAAAAGTTGACCATGACAAGGACCTGGAAGATCTTGAGATGTGGGCCAACGCTTAAGGTTAAAAGCCTCGCTTCTGTATACCTTACTTTGTTTTACTTATTCTGCACTATTATTTTTAATTGAGAGCGCATGCAAATGTCATTTTCTTGCTGTATTACCCGGTCGCTTAAGTTTTTCTTCTAGTTCGATATTCAAATCATGTATTTTCTAGATGAAGATAGCATTAAGTATTGAAGGAAACACACGATGTACATTGTCTTCGTATTTTCTTTCGTTTGATCTGTTTACGAACAGCTCACTTTCTTCCTTTTCCAGTCTTTAGTTTAATGGTCAAGCGACCCTTCGATTTGGGCTCCTTCCTACCGAAATCGCATGAATTTATGAGTTTTTTTTTAATTTTCGTGGTGTCGTTTTAGAAATGATAGTACGGAATGTCTTCTTGTCACAGATTACCTTCAATAACATGTTCAATTGATTTTCATAAACTTACGGATACCGCATGATTAATGAGTTGTTACATAGGGTCAAAAGCCAGTAATGTTTGCAGGATACGGCGTAAAGGTAGTTGGGGGGGGCACCTGGCATCGTGACAAAGTCACGTTAGGGTGATTATATCGAAGCTCATGTAACACCTGTACAATGCAAAAATTTAAATCTGGAAAATCTTAATCTTAAGAGATTTCTTAAGAACTATTTAGTGCTATTTGAGGTTAGAGGGCGCAGACGACCAGACGTGACATGCTATATCGTTTAGACGTGTCGCAAAGTTGCATAGTCAGGAAGCATACAGCGTACGCCATGGAGGGTGGGCAAAGGGGAGTTGTCAACAAACGCTTGCTGACTTCAACTGACAGAAATAGCGGTTGTATAGTGGTCCTTCGAAAACTTCTTTCAAAGCCAGATACAACTTTCGACCACATGCGAGCCCCCTCCCAAGCGACCAGGACCATATTGATGGGATTTTCCCAACGATGCTCTATCCTGGGCGTAGTGACGGTGCCGTGTGCCAATTCACCCTCCCCCCCCCCTACTACCACCATTCTCAGCACTCTACTTTTGTCACAATAGTTCATATATAAATGCCGGTGTACGTGCACGGCATTCGTACTGGGACCGAACTGACAAAACAAGAAAAGTTATTCTATGGTGAGTAAACTAGCTAGTAAGTGCTTTGCTACTTTTTGCGCGTCGCAACTTGAGTCTCCTGGAAAAACCTTGCAAGAGTTACCATTTTATTGAGGGGACATGTGTGCAAAGCCGTGAAGCGAGGAAGTATTCCAGAAGAAAAAATGGAAGCAGGAGCAGATGGTTATATACTCTAAGTCAGTTGGGTACTTTATAACGGTAAGCCATGAGCATGGAAAACACGGAGCGAAAGAGCGGATCAGGAAGCCCGGAGTAGCGCCTGAGCGCGGGTCGGGTCGTACTTGGCCGCTGGGGAGGGTGAGTCGTATCTGGTCCATGGGGCCGTATCTAGTTTTGAGAAAAGTTTTTCCAAGACGAGATAGGTTTTTCGGTTGTTTCCTCGATTTTTCCTCTTTCAGTTGTGCTATATATACCCTATTTTGGTGCAGTAGACAGTTACTACTTGTGATGGTCGAAATTGGTAGCTTCTTTTGAGGAAGAAACTGGAAAATTGGAAAAGTCCTGGGAAGTTTCAGGAAGATGATAGGTAGGATGGGAAGGAAGATTGTACTGGAATGAGCAATTTCAGGGGTCGTACTAATAGCGCCATTTCACGCACCACGACGCTGGCCCATGGTTGCATCAGGTCGCACCCCGCGCAAATCTGACGCTTGCCGCGCGCTGCTTGATGTGTCACAATCGTGAGGTAATTTTCTAGCAATCCATGACCGCTCAAACGTGTTGAGTGTACACAGAACTACAGTATTGTTCGCCGCTGGGGTGTGCCAGGGGGACTGGGTTTGGCGTGGTGCCAACCCATTTCCCACCAATTGTGGCAGCTGAAAACTGACCATTATTGGTGAAAAAAGGGACGCCGCGCCAGGCCTCAAATATTGCGTATGATGAGCAACAAAAACACCATCTTTTTATTTTCACAAAATGTGAACAATTCATCAGTAAGGAATAGAACACAATAAGACCTGTTACACAGAATTCAAAAAAAGCATTAAGAAAGGCAAGAGTATCTCCCGTTCTTCAAGATATGGCCAACACATCGTTATAGCGCTAAGACTTTTACAAAAACGCTAGCGGTCGTGGCGTGGTATGGCGAAGTGCCAACCGCGACGAGCTGCACCGCTACCGCACGCTTATTTCGTAAAAGACCTGCGTCGTTCTGGACAACACACTATGAAATACAGTCCTCATCATTACGTACTGTCGGGGCGGTTCAGTGCGGCTGCGTTTGGCGCGGTGCCAAACCCGCTCTCCACCAGTATTTAAAGCGAGCAAATGATATGACTGTATTATATCCTCCGTATTACTCGTTTTCTACCACTTTTTGTCGCATACGCGTTTCAACAAAAAGGCTGAGAACGGCTTCAACAGTGTGCACACTCATACTGGCTGACACGCCCCACCGGTCCGCAATGATGAGGACTGTACAATCAGATAAATATATTGATTCAAACAACTTTAAATCTAGGTCCACCAGTTTTCAGTGGAACCAGTACCAAAGGCAGAAAATTTGGAACGGTTGGAAGGCTTTCAGAGTTCCATATCAAGGCGCCTGGAGAAGGCGTGGCCACAGAATTATTTACGCGCGCAGAGTGCTGTTGATTAAGCCGAAAAATCCACAGCATGTCCATAAGAGAGCACACACGATACAGCAAAACATTGACAGCTGCTAGCTCTATTGTTGATCCAGCAGCTGACCACAGATACACAGCCCCTTCGAGGCGCACAACTAGTTCCATGGACACGCCCCTCCAAGTGTCGTGATAATTTTAAAATATTACAATAAAGTTCTTCAATGAGTACATTACACCCTATAGATCCTCATGAAGTATCTCTACCACGGAATACGAGATGGGCTTGACTCCAGAAAGTTCGATCCTGTTTTAGTAATACTTCGTTCCAATTCAGCTCTCTTGAATCACCTATCGCTATCATATCGGACGTCAATGATGTTCGGCTGCACTGAAAGACAAAAGCGATCGATTTTTCTTCAGAGCTACGGTGCTTCTGAGCCTAATTACGTCAGCGCGAATTGTAAAAGCACTTGGGCAACTTGGCCTTGCGATCAATATGTAATGGTGAATAAATGGAATCATTGAAATGGCATTCGCCGTGCTATACTTCACTTCAGCCGGGGGGGCGGGCGGGGGCCGGCGGCGGGCGGGGGCGGCGGGGGGGGCGCGGGGGGGGGGGCGGGGCCGGGGGGGGGGGGGGCGGGGGCCCGGGGCGCCCAGGTTACACCCCCCCCCCCCCCCCCCCCCCCCCCCTCCCTCCCTCCCCGAGCACTTCGCCACAACCCCAAAAGGGGCGCGGGGGGGGGGGGGGGCGCAGCGGCGGCGGAACCCCCCCTTTTTTTTTTTTTTTTTTTTTTTTTTTCCTACCCCCCCCCCCTCCCCCCCCCCCCCCCCCCCCCCCCCTTTTTTTTGTTTTTTTTTTTTTTTTTTTCCCCCGGGGGGCTCCCGGGTCCCGCCGTCCTTTTCTTTTTCTTCCCTTTTTTTTTTTTTTTTTTACAAAACCCAAAAACCGGGCGGCGGGGGGGAGCGGATTTATGTATTCGAATATCTCCTCGACGGTAGCCACTCCATCACCGTTAGCGTCGATTTGTTTATCAAATTCGGCTTCCCTTAAATATCGAATTCTCGCAAATTTTGCTTCTTATTTTGCAAAGGAGAGGGGCGAGATGGTCGATAGTAGCCGCGAGCGGTCGCAGCGCGGCCTGCTCGATGAGTCAACACTTGCTTACCACACTGTACCGTGACCGTGCAAGTCACTAATTGTTTCCTCGGTCTATGTAGTTCTGGAGCATAGGCCCTCCCTCCTCCCCCTTAAATTCTCCGTACGACCCCTTCCAACTCTCCCAAAAGCCTACTGTCGATCGGGTAGGGGGGGGGGGTCTCTCCAAATAGCTACTGAAGTTACAGTAAGAAATGGTGATTGTAGAGTAGTTTTGCGGCGTCATCAGCCAGGAGGGGGTGAGGTATGCAGCGCACATAAAACGGGAAAAATCTCAGGAAGATTAATCTTGCAATGCGAAGATCCTTTTAGGCCCCATTCTCTAACCTGGATCATACTAACCCTTCGTTGAGTTTTCACAACGGGCGCTGTGACCTCGCCTCGAAAGAGGACATTTCCGCAGCTGGGACATTCAAACTTTGGTTCACCCCCACCCTTCGGAGTTGATCCCCTCTTTGCGCAGACTTGGCTCACAACCATTTCCTAGCACCTACCAGCACTGAATACCTGAGTTTGCTAGAGTTGGGCCAACAAATCGATCAGAATAACCTTTTGACTTTTTTGGTTTCTCTTTTTGGATCTGGTCCATCGAGGTCTTCTTTGACAGGCCCAGAAGAAAACTCCTCTCTGGACACTTTTCCGTCACCGTCATGATCTGAAAACGAAACAAATCTTCGATGAAAAACATTTTGCTGGCGCAATTTGGCCTGCTGGGGGCCTTTTGCTTGTTCCCATGCGAGCATTGCCGATGCCTCCTATCGAGACCTGTGTATTCTTGTGAAGATATGCAATAGCAGGTGCTACGTTTACACTTCACAGAGTCTACAGGGGTATGTGACAAGAGGATCGTAATTCGCCGCGCTGCTGGGCGTCGCGTGCGACGTCTCGTCTGCAAAGGACGATGGTTCCAGGTAGTAGATGGCGACAACATGCAATTAAGGACCGAAAACAGTAATGAGTGTCTACGATGACGGGGTCTACATGAAGTCCGGTGCTCCATTCGACAGGTTAAAACGAGTTATGAAAACGCCGCGCCCATCGCCGCGCGTGGCGGTGCGGCGAATTACGATCCTCTTTACCGTCTCCCGAGTCTACAGGTATCACCAAGGTGGAGGTGTAATTCAACCGGAATCCGAAAGTACAAGCTGCCCCTCCCGAGTCGAATAGCGCCTGATTCGTCTTGTCTATCACTATTCGTAAGCTTTACTGACAACAACTGGCAGCCTTCGAAGCTCGGGCTGTAGCTGCTGCAAGCGGAATAGAATGGAAAGCGAGTAAATATCGTCACCAGAGATTAGTTGGAGTGCAGGTTGGTAGACCAATATTACTGCCAGACTAGCTTGTTGACTTGGCATATTGTTGCATTTTGGGTGTTGGATCGAAACGCCGTTCAGGATTGTCGGATGCTCAAAGCCAGGAAATAGCATCATTAGAGCACTCATTCTCTTCCCCTCTTGTATGGCAGTGAAGAAGGGGGAAGAAGAGGGGCACGTGCATGACGTCGTTTCTCGGCTCCGCCCAACTGGCAATCCGGGATGTCTTCGACTTCTGGTGCAAATTTCTGTGCGCAACACCTCTTGCAACGTCGCAGTGCCACTAGGTGGATTTATAAAAATACCTCACTGGTTGCGATCGATAACTATAGGGACCTTATCATGGGAACAGTTTCACAAAAATGCTTGAACCTACCGTATAACTTCAGAATGTCACCAGCCATTTCTTTCAAAGAATCTTGGTTATGTTCGGGATGGAAAAACCTGAAGCAGTAGTACCATAGCAATTACAAACTTTCTTTACAAAATTGTTTTATACAATTTCTTTCTGTACAAAAAAAATTGGGTGGGGAGGGATTCACTCGATGGACGATGTGGTGTTTTTATCCTACCCAATATGTCTACCACTGGTACGAATTCACTGATTCCCGGGGATTGTAGTCTGTGCTGATCTATGCGTCAATCAACCCGAGACTCAAAGGCAAGTGGCACGATAATCCCCAAGACGTGTAGGATCAATACGCTGGGCAGGACAGAGTTTTGGAGACACTGAGAAGGCGCAGCGTGGCTCCTTTCCGAGGAAGGTACTTTTATAGCGCCCTATAAAGCTGTAACATACCGACCCAGACACCCACTGTACCCGCCCGCCCACAAATGTCCGACTGATGCTGATGCTCGTATCGCTTCATTTGGAAGTACAATATGAAGCGAAGATATTGAAATGAAGCAGTTGTGGTGCTGCACGGATATACAAGTATACTCCTTATCCTTGAGACGGAGTAGGTGGGGCTTTTGAGCTTGGCATAAGACTGCTTACTCGTGGGATACTTCAATTTGAAACGACTACCATCTTGTTCTGGGTTAGATGTAGACATGATTACGACTGTTCCAAAATGAAAATATCTCACGAAAACCTGGGCCGCCGCCATTTTAAAATTAAGTACGCAGCCACGCCTACCCGATCTCAGGGATTTCGAGTATACATACATGAGCCGTATCTACCGTAGTGGTTATTGGCACGGGGAATGGGGAACTCGCCCGAAATCGCATTCTGAGTCGTGTGGAACAAAGGCTTTTTTTGCAGGTTTTTGACCGTTTCACTTCGCTTTTTCGCCATTTTCCCACTATATAGCACCCCTGCTACCATTTTAGACCGAGTACTGAATTATCGTGATTCATGCCTTTAATCTAAACGACATATCATGTGATAGCGGCGCCTTGTACCTCTCACTCAACTCCGTCCCAAAGATTACATACAGCGATGCAATCCCCCGCCCCCTCCCCTCAAAATTTGTTCCCTGCCCTGTTTGTAGTGCCTGATATTAAAAATTTGGAGAATGCTATGTTACAAGCTTGATTCTGTTAAAGGATCGTCTGCTCCTGACAAAGCAGTGTAGTTCAGAACATCCGAAATTAGGCATCGCGCACGAAGAGCCTTTCTTAACAAGCCGCCCTGACATGCTACAGCACTGTCATGTTGAACTA